TTTTTGTCGCGGATCCCATTTGTTCAAGGATCGAGGAGGACGCGGGATGCAACGGAAGACGCATTGCTCTCCGATTGAATCCCACGTATGCACGCGGTGCTCGGTGAAACGGTCGCTGAGAAACAATGTCGGAACCGGCGGCATAACGCGAATGCCAAGTAGCCATTGTTGTAGCAAAGGATACGAACGTAATGAGCCCTCTAATGTTGCCCTCGCTTCGTGGGACGATGATCGATACGCGGCACTAAACACTACTTGGCCCATTGTGCCTGGTCAGATAGCGCGTTTGCGAAACATAAACGTGTAGACACGAACTTAACAGCCACTACCTAGATGACGTTCTCATTTCTTTTTTTTAACGAATTAGGTGAATTAAGAGGAATTTTTCTGGGCTTTTTAAGGTTAAGTACACTGCTCGCTAAAAAAAATTGCAATATCTAGAAATAGCGATTGCACAGGTTTGGAAATTACATATGTTTTTGGGGCTACTCTGAGGAAAAGAAGACATTCTTTAATCAAATTTTTACTATTTTTACCTTTGAATGCCCTAAATAGTGTTATATGTAAATTTCAGATTTGTGCGATTTTGTTTTTAAAGCGTTGCAATTTTTTGCCGAGTAGTGTAATGGATATTAATTCTTGCTTCTCCCAGCCAAATGTGAAATTATAATCGGCCATAGTATTGCTAAGTCCACTCTGAGGAAATATGACCTTCTTTAAACAAATTTTAAATTTGCACAATTTCGTTTTTCAGGCGTTGCAATTTTTTTGCCGAGCTGTGTAATACGTATTAATTTTATAGAAATACATCGATCATAATTTTCCTTCTGACGCACGCAGAAAAATTGGGTTACCGAGAGTTAAGTCGACTAAACTCTTCAGTCTGTGAAACAATGAGAAACACCTTTCAAAAACTCTTCAACAGAAGCGTCAACTACACACTACTCCCAACGAAAATCCACCAACGAAGGAATCCCAACAAAAAACGTCCAAGCTCGCTTTGAAGACACCAAACTCCTTGACCCATAATGATAATCAAACCCGCTATACATGTCTACCAGGGTATATAAAAGAGTATGCGTCAAGTTTCCAGGCAAATGAAGCTGTCGATGGTAATTAGAATCATTACACGGCCACGCAGGCCGTTTAAGTCGCAATCCCTTTCAGACATGGCAGAAGACGAAAGGTGAGGAGCGGCGCGCGCTGCTGGATAATTAGAATCGTCGTCGTGCACGATGCGAAAGAGAGGCGACTGACTTTGACGTGTGTTACCCTCACTCGCAACAACGGTACCTCGAGAGGAGAACGATTGCTCGAATAATCCGCGAAAGACACTGGGAACGATGTTCCCATCCCGAGGCGGAGGAAAGCGCGTGAGGAATTCGACGACAAGCCTAATTGTTCGCGGAGGTACGCGACAGGAATGAAAGAGTCGCGTGTCGTTCCGTCACGTCACCGTGCAAATGTCGTACACATGTCGATGCGTACAATCGCGACATCCTCTGCCTCTTCGAGGTTTCGGCCCTGCCAGCGGACCGTGTTACATCAGGGTCAACGATTCGACTTAACGCACTCTGCCAAGAGTTACAATTCGACAGATCCTGTCGATCGGGTCACATCTTGTAAGTGAGGTGAGTTAGCTGAGAAAGTCGGTGTTGCGAGGGGAATTTTGATAAGAAAAAAGGAGAGATAGAAATGGAAAATTTAATTGTGATTATAAATGGTTCTTTTTTTTCATCCTTCGACTGTTGGGTAATTTGGTAAACAGAGGTAGAAGGAAATTTGTGTTAATCTTGTATTGCGAGGATAAATAAAAGGCGAAAAGAAAAAGGACTTTTGTGTCTAAAAATTGTAGAAATTCGACAAATTAATTGTCTAATGTGAAAAGTAGACCTTGTGAAAGGAATTTTGGTCCGATAAAACAGGGATCAAAATGGAAAATATAATAGTTTTTTTCGTTCTTTGATTATTAGGTAATTTGACAAATAGAGGTAGAAGGAGATTTGTATTAAACCTTGTGTTGTGAGGCAAAAAAAGAGCACTTTTGTATCAAGAAATTGTAGAGATTGAAAACACTGATTGTCTAATATAAAGAGTGAAAAATTTGTTTTTTAATTTCATCCTTTAATCATTGGATAATTTGATAAACAGAGGTGGAAGGAAATTTGTATAAAATCTGGTACATTTAGGACAAAGGAAAAGATGCAAAAAAAAAAAAACAATTCGTTCGCGTCTAGAAATAACAAACGCTATTCAAAATATGAATTGTCTAATTACAATGTTAGATTAAATTTCTTCGTCTCTTAAAACTTCAAACTTAGAATGAGAAAGCTTAAATGAGAAGTTTTTGATTTATTGAAAAAAAAAAATAGTCTAATCTGGCTCTTATCGAGACGCTAAAAAGACGATTAAAAAGAGAAAAATGACTGTAAGTATAAATAATAGAGAAACAGAGTCCAATTCAAATTCCAACGTGAAACTTTCACGATGATAATGTCACGGAGAACACTCGATTATGCTCCGCGGACACTTGAATACCTCGCTACAGGCAACGCTCGCTCGAGTAGACAGCAACTTCGCTGAATGAATGGGGACACCTGCTTCGATATTCAGGTGGGCACGTCGAGAATATTCATAATCACGTACGCTACACGTTCGTTCCAGTTAGAGGGGACGATGATATGTGTTATACGGAAGAGGACAGATATAGAAGGGAATCATCGAAAGGGAAAATACTCGAAATATCGTCACGTTCCAAGAACAGATATTTATGGGTGCTGTGTCCAAGTATTTATTTTTTATGTAACTGTAAAAACAGCGAAAATTACGCGGAAGAGGAAGATAACAGTATTACTGTAATTATATCTTATAAAAAGTATCTATGAATTATTTGCAAATTTAAATATACCTTCGAGACTTCGAATTATTATGAAACTTATAATAATTGTAATGGCTCCTTAAATTCATTTCACAGGTTAACTTGAAATTTTCAAAAATTTAATTCAACAAATTTTAAATAAAATCCTGTTATGAGAATAATTATTTGTTTGAAATTTTTAAGACGATTCCGTGTAGAGCTAGAAGTGTCGAAATTTCCGATTTAATTGAATAATTTGATAATTTTTTAATTGAAATTTGAAATAAAATGGTATTATAAAACTGTTTCGTTGTTTCGAAGTTCTCGGGACGATTTCTAAGCTGAACTAACAGTTTTCAACATTTCCGTTAAATATGCCGCTTGTCTATTTCAAGCTGAAAAACTAACGTATTTCTACAGACTGTTGGTCTAGCGTTCCGTAGATTCTAAAGACCGAAATTATTCACTGCGACGAAGAATGGCGTTTGCATGACGATGCATAATGAACGAACGTCGTTGAAAATCGTCTCGCGACAGCGATATTACGGATTCGTAGGTATTTCGAACGACAGTGAATTCTGGAATGTTAGCTTTCCTCCATCCCGCAACGTACACACAGTACATGATAATTAGGTGCTGAAAAGAACGT